TTCGTGATCCACAGCAAGAAGGGAGCGATGCCTGTACCTATAGTGAAGTAAAATAAAGGTAACACAACAGAACGTAATACTTAGGTTCTTGCCTCTTGGCACACTTTATAATTGTGCACAAACCGGCTGCTGTGGCTTCCTTCTCCACCTGCATTCATAGCCAAGATGGAGAAGTGCGTGTGAGACGTAAACACCAAGACACCATATCTGACAGCATTACGTTGGGCTGCATTTGTTTGTCGTACTCCAGGCCAGAGCCGTCTCAGCTTCAAGTGGGACCAGTATCTGCGGAGTTGCCAGGTGGAAAAGGCGCCCGACGCGTGTTTCGCTCCGGCCAGTCTGAAAGGGCCCGGCTAAGCCGCGTCTAATGTCTTGGTCCTGGCGACTCTCCCGCAACAGTAGAAGTAGGCCACGTTCTGGCTGCTGAGTATTCAGTGAACTCCACAGGCTACACAGTGGGTCTGCATCCCTAGGACAGAGGGGCAGTACACAGTGGGCCTGCATCCCTAGGACAGAGGAGCAGTTCTCTGCCATTCACCTAGCCTGTGCTCTGTTAGTAAGGGTATGAACAGTATCAACTGCGCACTCTGGACTACACACATACACACATACACACACACACACACACACACACACACACACACACACACACACACGCGCGTAAGCGAAGTCGGTTTTTCGTATTTCTCAGAACTTTTCTCTCTCTCTCTCTCTTTATTCTCTTGGAGTTCGCTACTCCTTGAATGTTTTGTCTTGGGCGTAGAAATTAAGACGATCGTCCGAAGCAGCTGGTCTGCCTGGGCTGCAGCCTCGTGCTGGTCCGCTAACGAGCCGTCTTAACTATTATTATTCTCCACTGAAGGATATTTTTACAGTGAAGCTGACTGAGTGAGTCCACAGCTTTGTATGTGTCAATGTGTATTGTCAAAAGAATTAGCTACCATTTTAGTTACCTACTGCTGCATCGTTTTGCTTTGGAGAAAATAATTCTAGTTTAGCCAAACCCATTATCTTGAAGGTTCCATCGGACCTCTCGGCCAAATTTGACATCACCAGCATAATTATTGTGGTGTTGGCCAACCAACACGTTGTGCACACCAGGCAGCCACACATACCAGTATCCCCGTCCGTACATACGGTATGTGTAGTGCTCCCTGGTGCACACCAGCACTACCACTAGCAGGCAGTGTTTCAGGACGCTTTCTAGTCACAGTTAGTTGCAATCTTGCAACTAATGGAACCTATACAGACGAAAAACAATACTTTTCTGTACTACAAGTACACTCGGGTTGCTAATTATAGACCCCATAAGCTAAAAATAGAAATCGTTCAGGGTCTATGATACACAGTACAACATTGTTTCAAAATAAAATGTGTTTGATTCATCTAAAAGTATAAAACCTCTGTCAGCTGCACAGCTACTTCTACAAGAAATGAATCCGTGCAGTACATTCGTGCAGTGCACTCGAGCAGTACAATCGTACAGTACACGCGCATGTGGATAGAAAACACAGAGCTCAAGAAACAACAGTGCACTAGATCAAAGTATGAAAACGTCTCGTAGCACGCTACCATGCAGTATATCTGGGGATCAAGGCACAGGCTCCTATTCTTGGCCGTCACAACGCAAGCAGCAGCAAAGCACACGTACTGTTCTGCTTGTCCTGGAGATTGCACGGGCTGCAGTTGTCCAGAGCATTGCAAACAGTAGAACAACACACCATGTTTGAGCGAGTTTGTCACCTTTTTCGTAGGTTAGCCGGAGAATTTCCCCAATCTCCTTGACTGCATCAGTTGCGCACTCTTTAGAGTTGTGTACTTTCCCATCAAACATGATATCCATGAGACCATGACAGTGAAATATTTCTAGAGGACTACAGCAGAGTACTTCAGCCGAGCCATCTCCCTTCCATATGGGTTTTCTCGCATGGTACAAAGACGAAGTTCAAGCTAAGCTATTTGCATACGGTACTTGTGAAATGCAATTTGAGCACTGCTGGAAAACTTTACATTTATAAATCCTAACCTGGGCATTTGCCCTCTTCCCGACCTGGGCTCTTGCCCTATTCCTGATCTGGACTCCTGACCTCTTCCTGGCCTGGGTACTTGCCCTCTTCCTGACCTGGGCTCAAGCCCTCTTCCCTGGGCATTTGCCCTCTTGCCAACCTGGTCTCTTGCCCTCTTCCTGACCTGGACTCCTGCCCTCTTCCTGATCTGGGCACTTGCCATCTTCCCGACCTGGGCTCTTGCCCTCTTCCTGACCTGGACTCCTGCTCTCTTCCTGATCTGGGCACTTGCCATCTTCCCGACCTGGGCTCTTGCCCTCTTTCCTGGGCATGTGCCCTCTTCTCGACCTGGGCACTTGCCCTTTGCTCTGACTACCCCCTCCTGCACAACTATCACAGCAACAAGAACAGCTAGACAAATCTCACACATGTCGGCCATTGGCCATCACCAGCGATATTATTGTTATCCTTACTATGCACAAGACTAGCTACACTCCTGTCAGAATCACTGTCCACAGCAGAAACGTCGTCAGTGGTTAGGTCGGTTTCATTTCCAAGCGGCGTCTGCGTGGAATCGTGCTCTTTCGTCATTGTCTCCGCCTGTTCACTGGGATGGTCAAGCTCCTTCTGCGGCACTTCCTCAGCTTCCTGTGCGCTTGAATTACTTGCTGGCGATGACTCAACTTGCCTGCATCAACGCATACAAGCAACCCGCATGACAAATAAAAATCTAAATAAAAATCTGCTCCAAACATCACACAGTTAAATGCCGAATATTCGAATGATACTGCTGACTATCCTCACCAGTTTCTCATCCATCTTGATGATGGCTCCTGGCCAAAAACTTTATTGAGGCTTGTAATTTTGCAGCCAAGAGACCACTTGCATTGGTGTAGAGTTTTCCAGGTTATAGTAGACTATATTCAATCGATATGATTGTATTGCTATAGACTATCCGAACGATCAAATATCCCAAATGAGGTTATGTGCCGATAGTGCATCTTGAAAATCAGGCTTCTATTCAAAACAGGCTTCTATATGAGACAGGCTTCAATACAAGACACTACGGTCTGTACATACCCCAGCGCTGAAGTACATGGAGATGGAGCTGGAAAGAACACCAGGACAGACGGTACTCACATCGGTCAAGAATGAATCATTCTCTCACTGGCTACCGGCTATTGGAAAGCCCAACGTTTCTATCTCGCTGCAACGCCTGCGGGCTCAATGTCTTGAGTCGAATACTGTAAACCGTGAAATTATTGTGATGGTCTAGTTTCTGCGAAATTCGCGACCGCGTGGAAATCGCGAAATTTAGACAGCGCGAAAAGGAGATCCATGAAAGGTTTAGCAAGAATGCCACAGGTTTAGCAAGAATGCCATTCTGCAATCGCAAAATTATAACCTCGCAAACCTGTCCGGATTCTGAAAACGCGAACTAAAAACGCCGCGAAAATTTCACGCTTTACAGCAGAGCATTGCATCTCACGTGTGGGGCATATAGTCATAATATTTCTACTCCAGACCTGCGCAGAAGGATGCTCAAAGGACTTCTGTAAAACCGGGAATTTTCAGTGGTGTAATATTTTTTTCGGTTTTCCCCGAAATCAACGGTTTGGTAGCGCGAACATTTCGGAAACCAGTTTTCCAGATCCAAAAAATTCATTTTTCACACTGTGTGGCATGGTATTGTTGAGTTTTAAGTCGCGTTTTACTTTTGGCAAAATTACCTGTAACGAAGTCACAGAAAATAAATCTCCACCGATTTCCCCCGGTTTTACAGTAGTTTTTGATTTGGTTTCGAGCTAACGGAGTACATGTATTGCCATGCAGGACCACCTTTTTGCCATACTAGCACTGCAAAGTCTACATGTATTATGTACATGCATGAAACTCCACTGGAGACCATGATGGGTGTGGCAATCTACTGCAATGCAGGCCCGCCGGAACTGGTCCGGTCGGTCAGGTTATCACCGGACCAACCTTTTGGCCACAAACACACGTTTCCTGCAGTGGAGAGCACGGGTACCCACTATGTTTTATCATGATGGTCTGACGAGCCGCCCAGGCCTCACCACCACTGCCGTTTCTGTACTGCCTTCTTTATACATGTACATGTACACTGTACAGTGGTTCGGCCTCATTTCCTCTGTGCTGCGCTGATGAGTCCACAAAGGACGAAACAGTTCTGGCCGCAGAGTGAGTGTACACTGTATTGTGCACATTCACATGTCTGAAGGTTTGTGGTTTTCAATAAAAAAAATCATACACAAGTTATGAAAGGCCATGAGCTAACCAGACCAAACAAAACCTGCTTCCGGCGATCCTGCAATGTACACTATGGCTCTAGTGGTCCCGGATAAAATCCAACCCCAGCTGCATATCTGTCGCCCTCGACTTGCACGCCCTGGAAATTATATGATGATTGCTGGGTGCACATATGTAGGAATACAGTAAAACCTGTCAAGCAGACCACCCTGCTTATGTGACCACCTGCCCTAGAGGACCACTACAAGTAGAACCAAGCCGGTAGGCATGGGCGGGTAATGCTAGCATTATGGCTGGCATTATAGTCCCTTTTTTTCCAGGTGGCGTAATGCTGGCATTATAAGTTATAACACCATTTCGCATGCAAGATTGGCATTACAAGCATAATTGCCGGTCGACAACGGTGTCATACATGAAGCTGGCTAGGTCCAGTTCCGAAAATCGTGCATCTGAACCCGTCCGGAGACTTGACGTTGCAAATCAACCTTCTCAGTGGATTGTTTCAGACAACATGCTCACTGCTGTTAAAGTTTTTCTTCTTCTACGCTTTGGCCTTGATCCAAGACGGCCTTCTTAAATCAACTTTTCCAACTTTGAAACTGGCATTATGGAGTAGTGTGAGCATTATAAGTGGCATCATATCCTCATGTTATGAGCATTGCCTTTAGCATTATCGCAGCAAATAACTAGCATTACCCGCCCATGCCTAGAAGCCGGGGTGTTATCTCTTGTAAAAATGACCCTGGACAAGAAGACAACCTATACACAGTGAACGCCTGCGTAAGGTCCATTGAGAGGTCGTCGCCTTACACATGTTTCGCGGTACAGTGATATGATAAGCTTCTTTCCTTCTTTCTTTCTTTTTCTTTTTCGTTCTTTCGTTCTTTCTTGTTCCTTCTCTTGCCATTGCTGGCTTACGCCCTCCTCCTGGCTTCTGCCATTGGACGGTGAAATAAATGAAATAAAAAATATAAAAAATAAGACCAGGGGCGCCAGTTTTGCTATTTGGGCCGGATTTCAGCTAGCACAAGTGTAGTTAGCACTCACACAGTCCACAAGCCTGATGAAATAGAAAAGGCAAGGCATGCAAGCATGACAATTCACGACCAAAGCAAGGATGTCATTGACTCTCATTCAAAATAAGCAATAAAGCCATTCTGTGATGCTATTCTTGTGTACCAATTTCAGAATGTGTAAACTAGACAATCACCCCAGAAGCAGTCATAGTATTTTTTTAACTAGCAAAGAGCACTGTTTAGAAGCTAGAATAAATTTAAAAGAATCATGAAATTAATGGTCATCTAAGTAAAGACTTACCGTCCTCTTGTTGATCCAGTATGCTCCTGAACACGTCCAGTTTGTGCTCCCAGTACTGTTTAACCACGTTCAGGAAGGTCTCAAACTTCTCTGCCTCTCCTGGAATCATGTATCGAATGAAAAGGCTATTGTGTACGACGTTGCCAAATTTCTGAGCTTGTTGGAGACTTCGGATCATGGAAGCCGTGAGCAGTCGGCCCTTGGTTGCTCGGGTCCGGAGCAGGTCTGGAAGGATGAACGTGATCCATTGCCGGCATTGTCTGGTGAAGCGCTCGTCCATCCATGGATCTGCAAGTGAAAACAAACACGCAGAATTATGCAAATCATGGAACGCACACAAACATGCACAAATGCACACATGCAAAAACACGCACACACACACACACACACACACACACACACACACACACACACCTTTTGACCTTTGAGGGCCATCGCCGGAGGCGATGATAGCAATGCTACGGCAGAAGCCATAGCAACTTGTGCTGGGATTGCACCATTCAACAGCTTGCAAGGCTGAATAATTGACCGTCACTATTCAGCCTGGTCTACACCATACAGCTATTTGAAGTGACTTTTTCTGGCCAGTAAATCCCTATTTTTGGTCTTTTTTCTTTTTCTTTTTTTTTCCCGCACACACATCACACCACATACTACGGCATGCACTGGCTGTTGGTAACCACCCAGGAGCATGGAAGAAAAGTCAGGAAGAGTCTGAGAAAGAGAAGAAAGACGTGTGTGGCCATAATCGTCGGGAATCGAACCCGCAACCTATCGATTGCACACACACACACACACACACACACACACACACACACACACACACACACACACACACGCAAACACACACGCACACGTGCACAAACACACATGCACGTGTGCAAACACACAAGCTAAAATACCCCGGGCAGACATCCCTCAATTCATATGCATGTATTAAATGGGCCTAGAATCTGCAGCACACAAACAGTTCTTGGCTACACCACATGAGTGTAGCATTGAAGAATTCCCATGACAACTCAGAAGTACATGCAACATGTTAATCTACTCTTTCATTGTAGACTGTCACATGCTCAAACGACTTACTGGGCTTCCTCTTGACTAAGGAGGATGCTTGACTAGGCTTCAGTAGCTCCTCAAAGTCCTGCACTTTGTGCGGGTAGATGGACTTGACTGTCCTCAAGAATTTCTGGAAAGAGCCGTGTCCACCGGCCGTGACGAACCTCAGAAACAGCTCATTGTGACTTGGACACAGACCTTTCGCTTGGGCGTTCTCCAGGACGCGGATTTCCTTCTCGTCTAGCAGCCCATTGCCAATGGCCGCACCTCGAAGGAGCGTCTCTTCCACAAGCAGAACCCAGCCTCTGTACGCACCCGAGTTGAATCGCTCGTCCGCCCAAGGGCCCGACACTATCATGAAACGACACATGAGAAGCACATAGCTGTAATACCAGTGGACATCGGTGAAGCATACGATGCAACCAAGCTCCAATTGATATGAAGTATTCTGAAAACAATGTGTGGTCGTACGGGTTACAAGGGGACTAAATCAACAGCATCAGTACATGTTACAATACAATGTCATGTACAGGCAGCGTATTGACCCTCAGTAGGCAACAACATACTACAATAATTATGTACATTTGGCTATGGTAGTTAACGCGAAGTCTGCACATCCAGTTCTTGAGCAAAATTTTGTTATAATACCGTAAAAACCCGTGTATAGGCCCGGGTGTATAGAATAGCAGCCTCGATTTCCACGGCATATACAAGGGCACGGGCGTTATTTTGGAACCGGGCGTATACTTGGAATAGGGATGGCAGTAAGTATTGGGTATCAGCACCTGGCTGTACATGTACTGGTGTTGCCGGTATAAATGGGCGTATACCTGGGCGTATACCTGGGCGTATACCTGGGCGTATACCTGGGCGTATACATGGGCATGGGCGCTATTTTGAAACAAAACTGTTGACTTCCCCTGACTGGGCGTGTACACAGAGGGTGGGCGTAATTTCGAGTGGGCGTATTTTTTATTTTTTTATTGAAAACCCACAAACCTTCAGACATGTGAATGTGCACATGATATACAGTGTACATACGTATGTATCGAGAAGGCAGCACGGAAACGGTATACAGGGGCTTTTACGGTATGGGCACAAAGGCTTCGGTGGATTGATGTGGTGAAATCCAAGATCTCCCCTCTCGGACACACGCTCGAGGATTGCCTCAACACTGCACAGGACAAAAAGCTATGGCTGGACTTCGTTGACAAATGTACATAGGTGTAAAAAAATGGCTTGTACTTGTACTTGTCATGTACTAGAACCTGTATATTGTTTTTTCGTATGCTATTCTTCCTGCTGCAATCTATTTCATGATGAAACAGTTGACAGATGCGTGGAACCCATTATTTGGGAGACATGCGACCTATATTATTATTATTATGGGCACAAGGCTCACAATATCCCAACTCTGGATACTATCGTACTGAACATGCATAGATAGATACGCTAGCCTTGAAAATATAATGTTAAAGACCTGTTGCACGTCTACAACATGGTCATGCTGGACAGGCATGTTGGGTCCAAGACCAGCGAGTTCCTCAGTCAATGAATCACATTATGTCAACCATGCTGCTTTGACTTTCCACATGCCAAGAAGTTCACTTTCCACATGTCAAGAAGTTCACTTTCCACATGCAAAGAAGTTCACTTTCCACATGCCAAGAAGTTCACTTTCCACATGCCAAGAAGTTCACTTTCCACATGCCAAGAAGTTCACTTTCCACATGCCAAGAAGTTCACTTTCCACATGCCAAGAAGTTCACTTTCCACATGCCAAGAAGTTCACTTTCCACATGCCAAGAAGTTCACTTTCCACATGCCAAGAAGTTCACTTTCCACATGCCAAGAAGTTCACTTTCCACATGCCAAGAAGTTCACTTTCCACATGCCAAGAAGTTCACTTTCCACATGCCAAGAAGTTCACTTTCCACTTGCCAAGAAGTTCACTTTCCACATGCCAAGAGGTTCACTTTACACATGCCAAGAAGTTCACTTTCCACATGCCAAGAAGTTCACTTTCCATATGCCAAGAAGTTCACATTCCACATGCCAAGAAGTTCACTTTTCACATGCCAAGAAGTTCACTTTCCACATGACATTGTCAAGAAGTACACTTTCCACATGCCAAGAAGTACACATTTCACGCGAAGAAGTTCACTTTGCACACGGTAGTAGTCACATGACCAAGATTTGTAATCTATCACAATTATAGTGGTTGTGCTGTACACGCTGTGACTGTACCCAACCTGCAGACAAGACAATCATCCCGGCCTTACCCGGCACATTGGCTTCTGGTGGTGGCTGTGTTGTCGGTGATGACTCCGGTGCTGGCAGAGAAAAGAACCGGTTCCACTCCTGTAGCATTCTATCCTCTTCCGATCGCCGCTCGACAGTCAGCAACAAGCGCAGGGCTTCCTCCTTGCTAGCGCCAGAGCAACGGACGGTCAGTGACATCGGTGAGCTCTGCCGTAGTGTGATTCTCTCACACTTAGCCAGCTGCCTCTCCGGAATCTTCAAGCTGGCGTGCTTGTCTTGGATCGTCAGCTTCAGGACGTCGCTATCAGATAGCTGCATCTGCGGATACGTCACCAACTCGTTCCGGTCTGGAAACTCATCCTCCGTGCCTCCAAAGGTGATGAGCAGCTCCCCATACTCGGAATCCAGCCAGCCGAAGAATGTCTTGACGATGACTGATCTCGATATCAGGCCGCAAAAGAACTTGGACACCTTCTTCATGATGCTGGGAGTAGGTTTCTTGCGATCTTTTCCTTTCTTTTCATTGACGACACCTGTGAAGAAACACGAGTGAGAGGAAAATCAACAGTGTGTGTGGCAAGACAAAACCAACTATTTCGAAGCAGCTCACAACATCACACACCACCACTGAAAATGATCTCTCAGCTACAATTACTCGAAAAATAATTTCAGATGGGCAAGGTCCGAACCCTGAAACATTTTTAATCCAAAATTTCGGATCCTGCACATATTCAGGAATAGCCCAACTACAACCGAATGCAGCATATCACGGCGGGAGAACGCTTAAAAAATAATTCATGGCGCGCTCTGCAAGTAGCCAGTTTACTAGGCGCTGGGAGAAGAAATCAGAGCATTTCGTTCAGAACAATACAAGTACTGAGGTGTACACTACATGACTTGTGTTGCTCACTATCAACGTGGTCAGATATGGGGTAGATCAGACCCATGACAAAGGGGCCAAAGACCGGAAATCCTGCAGAGCTTATGAGAATACATTATCAGGCGAGATGCGTTGGCAAAGTAAGTTGCTGCACAGCCATGCACTTGGGGCTTGCGCTGTGACGTTATATAGCACCCATTAGCGGTTTTGCTGACTCATGCTGCACACCTAGCACCCATTAGTGGTTCCGCTGACTCATCACCATGACCTCACCATAACATCACCATGATATCACCATGATATCACCATGACCTCACCATGACTTCACCATGATCTCACCATGACATCACCGTGACATCATTCGCATAATCTCTATTCGTGGCATCTGTGCTACCCAAGTTCCATGTGAAACGTTTCTACTTCATAGTAAGTGCTTGTTGAGTCACAGCACAAACTATGCCAGCATCGTGGAAATTGATGCAACCCCCCCCCCCCCTTTTTCTTTTCTTTTTTTTCGATGCCAGGTTGCAACGCTAACGCCGAGACCCCTGGTGGTTGAGTTGCTCCCTGTACATCGGCACATCCCCTGTGTGTTGTTTTGTGTTTGTCTCCACATGTCTCTTTGATTGATTGATTGATTGACTTTTACTTCACGGATCCTCCAGAGGCAAATAGATGCCTATCGAAGGGAGTCTTTGTTGGGCTGTGTTCCCAGTAAAAAAAAAAGATTGATAAAAACATTAACAGGTTCTCATTAGAGACACTATCTCCCACCAACAGCACCATCAGCATTACTGGAACAACGCCACACAGCACTATTTGCTAACCAAACGTCGTGAAGTGTCGAACTTGAAACGTGGCAAAACAATCCTCAACGGTGATCTTGCAGTCGTCCTCCAATGTCAACTCGTCGCTGGCTTCTGCTTCATGTCTTGACAGGAACTGACCAGGCGTGGAAATAACATGCAACTGCAGAAAAGGAAAAAGAGGTTCTTAGAGCTGACCCGCTTTTTGCCATTCACTCTCCAACAATATCGAACTCGTTTACCAATCTCCTTTTTTTAACGCTTGGCCAAAGTGCCCCGTGATCAGGTAGGAAGCGCAGAAAAAGGCTAACAAACAGGCTAATCCCGGCGAGGAACGCACAGCAGGATTCGTGAAATATGAACTATGACCGAGAATGAAGCACCGAAGAATGTGGGGGCCGTTCTGTGTCTGTAAACATGATGCAAGGCCCAAAGTTCACAGTCTGGGTGAAAGCCATTCAAACCAACTAAATGTGTGTGCATTGTAGCTACTAGGTACTGCTGGGGCACTGTGTCCTTCAGATGCGGAGTGGCCGGTGTTCGCAACCGGGGGGGGGGGGATAAGCTATATACGGGCAACACCTGAGTGTGCCGTGTGGCAATCATGCGGCAAGTAGCATCCAGGCAATAAGCTATACACGGTAACAGACTGCCACTAGGTCCGGTGTTGTGTTGCGACACTGCCACCACCAGTAGCAGTACCAGCAGCAGAATCATTGGCAGGCGACGCCAGTACCATGATCAACAGAAGCAGCATCAGCAGTAGCATACAGCTCATCACACTTTTGATCAGCACCTTCAGCATGCAATGCCATTGGCAGCCACATTGCACAAACACAGCACGCGTACCTCACTGTCATCAGAAATCAGCCGTTGCTGCTCTTCGGAGAGAGTCACACGGATAGTGACACTCTCATCAAAACAAGCACCCGATGGTGTACATGACACAACCTGCAAGGCGGAAAGAATCACAAGCAGAAGCTGAACCCAACACTGGCTTCCCAGTATTGAGACTACATACTCACCCACCCCCTCTCCTCCCCCCCTTCCTTTCAAAAGATGGAGGGGAGTAGATTCATAATGTCCAGTAGTTGCATCAGGATCAAGAGTTAGTGGAAGACCCTAGGCTTCTTGCAGCCTCACATCTCTTGCAAACATAATTTGTATGCCTTCTCTCTCACAGGACTGCAAGTCTGAACGCTGTACATGTACATCTTTACGCGACTGGTCAGATTTGCAGCGCTGCGGGAATTGGAGTGTTCACCCAAATTCATATCTCGATCAAGATTTACTCTAATCTCAGAAGTTTTTGGTGCTCACCATTTTAGGGATGAGGGCAGTAGACCCCGTTAGGTGCCTGAACAGGAATTGTAGGTGCAGAGAAGCAGTCCGTATCGGATGTTGTGGGCTAGTGCTAGAACAGCTGTTGAAATTTTAGGCATGAAAAAGTTGCCTGACGATTGCGAAAGCATGAGACTTTAAGTAGCGACAAACAAGCCTTGATTGCCCCCTTGTTGTTCTGTTCGGTATGCAAGAGATACACTGAAGGCACCAGAAGTTAAAGTATACTGAAACCTTGTGAAATTACAAGACATTTGTCAAAAATTTAAACTTCATTCTTACAAAAGAGAAAGACCAAGGAGCTACAAGTAACGCTATACTGCCCACTTACACCACCAGTTACTAAACAATCAGCTCATGCGATAACATTGCACGACACTCACCGACGGTACTGACGTTCTACAACTAACTGGCTAACAACTCTAGCACATCTTGGATGCGCACTCCAACAGCCTTCCAACTGCTCATCTTGGTTGCGCTCACCTTCCCCTCCTTATGTTATTTCTATAGCTTTGAACCTTCCAAGTAGTTCCTTGGTCCTTTCTCTTTTGTATAAATTAAACCTTGGCTCTCCAGCCGAGTCCATTCACTCTTACAGGGGAAGTTAAGCCTAAAATCAAATTTTCACCGTGCCTGCAGGGTACAACTTACTTACAGCGTGTTTGGGTGCGTTCCTGTCACTCGAGTTGAACATTGGTGTGAAAGTTATAGCCTGCAGGCACCGTGACCAGGTGACTGGTGTACGCATGAGCATGTGACGTGACCGCTTATTCAACCATGTTCGATTGGGAATAAGGGCCGAACGCTGCATCGCAGCCTTTTCGGATCAAAACCAGTCGACTCAGCGTCCACAAGACTACAACATATGGGTCAGTCGCGGTCATCCGTTCTTTATAAGAACGAAATGGCGCTTTTAGTGACATTTTGGTTACAAATCCCCATCTAGTAGGGCGCGGTCACCCAATTTCGGTGGAAGTGGCGAGTTCGATTGGGAATAAAGGAGGAAGGGAGCGTCTCAGCTTCCTCGGACCAAGACCATTCGACTCAGCACCCCGAAGACTGTAATTGGTGAATAATTTGCTTTTAGGCTTAACTTCCCCTTTGAACATGTTAGATGGCTGTGGCCCATGTCTTCACCAGCTACACAATGCTAAGTGCCAGCACTCGCAGTGCCGATAGTGGGTTGACCTACCGCGAGCACTGTGAGGCCATGGTCGTCCTCATGGTTGCCTGGGTTACCACCGATGGCGCCGTCATCGGCAATACGCTCAGCATCGTCCTGGACTTGTGAGGTGAGGCGAGCACCGTCGTCGTTGCCCACTTTTCCCGAGCCAATCCAGCGTGTGCCGCTGAAATGCTGCACGATTCCCACTTTCATGCTGCCAGGCAGTGATGCCGGAGGAACTATGAGAGCAGCATTACGGCTCTGCACCTGACCACCTTTGTCAGGTGTGAGAATTGCCATTTCCTAACACAAGGAGCAGGCCAGAAGAAGTGTGAGGATTACTGTTTATAACCGCACATAAGAACATGACTTTTAGTAATATTCGAAAATGCCCTGCTTTTGGTTGGGTTTTGGCAGATACCCCGTGGGAGTTTTCTTCACATCAGCCACATGTGCTTGTAAGTTATACTGGTAAGTTACTCAGGGAGGGAGAGAGAGAGAGAGAGAGAGAGAGAGAGAGAGAGAGAGAGAGAGAGAGAGAGAGAGAGAGAGAGATAGATAGAGAGAGAGATAGAGGGAGATAGATAGAAATAGAGAGAGAGAGAGAGAGAGAGAGAGAGAGAGAGAGAGATAGAGAGAGAGAGATAGAGAGAGAGGGAGAGATAGATAGAGAGATAGATAGAGAGATAGATAGAGAAAGTAGAGAGAGAGAGAGAGAAGAGAGAGAGAAAGAGAAAGAGAGTTGAGAGAGAGAAATAGAGCTGGAGAGAGAGAGAGTATGTGAAGAGAGTGAAGGGAGAGGGGCTTAGGAAGGAAAGAGTGTTTGAGAGAGAGAGAGAGAGAGAGCAGATTAAGAAACACATGCCTTCACTTGTGCGTAAAGCTCTGCCTGACAATACGGTATCTTAGACAGCAATGGAGTCCTACAACCCAAGAGGAGCAAGTAAGTCACAAAGTTTGACTACCCTGCTTACCTGCAATAAGGCTGCTTGTAGAAGTTGGCTGATGTCTGGGTAACCCTGAACATAAGCTAGCGCCAATGCATTTTGACCAGTCTGAATGCAGAAGGTAGTCCATAATAGCAGAGTATTTCAGTTTTGTCAAGCATCAGATAAAATGCAACCTGATACTACAGTTGCGCTGGGTGAAATACGACCCAGAGCTAATATTGGCACGCTCTTGATGCCCTAGAATGGGCACGAACGCGGCTGGACGTACTCGTACACACGTAGCAATACAACGATGTAATCGAAACTGCCCGTGAGTCAGGGCGCCATGCAGCTTTTCACTTGACTTGGTGTCGGATTTCACCGAGCCAAACTGTACTTCTGCAACATAACTCTTGTCAGGAAAGCAGATTCGTACGAGTACAAACTCACTTTGGATTGTCCCATAGCGTGGAATGACCTTGGCCACACAGGTTGGTGTGCATGCAGCTGGTACATTGTATATATTTTAGATCACATCGAAAGATGCCAAATCATTGTGAGTCAGAACTTCTGGAGATGCAGCCTAAATGCTGCGCGTCTTCAACAGGTCTTTACCTCATCCAGGGACAACACTTCGAAATAGAGAGGTTAATCAAAATCTCCTCTAAACTGTTTTGTCAACCATTCCTTTATTATTTTTTAACGTCCGAAACATCATAACCTCACTCTAGATGCCTCCAATACTCTCAACAGCTGCCTTTCTGCTATTTGAAATATTCTCCATATTGCGTATGCATTTTACCATCTCAGGGCAGAACCGTGGTGACAAGTGACCTTTTCGAATTCAACCATGGCCTAAGGGGGTGATTATATGTGCAGCTCCAGCCCGGGCTGGTCGACAGGCGGGCCAGCCCGCCTGCAACGGGATCTCGGGGTTGTACACAAATCCACACAAAACCTGTGGTGCGTTTACATGGCAAGCGGGCTGGCCCGGCGAGGTGGGATCCCGCCTCGAGGCACCCGGGGGATCCCGGCTAGGCGGGCCAGAAAAAGCACATATAAACAGACCAGCCCGGGCCAGAGTTGTATTATTATGGTATCGACACTGCGTTCATACTACAAAATAGGTACTTTTACCTCTTGAGGGAAGTTATAAAGAGGATTCCTGATATTGTCTTGAAAATCTAGGAAGCTTTTGTACAGCAATGAGAAGGACGTGCAATGAGCACTGTTTATTTGTCGATATGCATGATTTACATTAAAATGGAAGGGGAACTACTTGCAAAATACTTTGATATGGACAGCTAAAAATGTGAAAAACAGGAAAAAGAAACGAGGTGATACAACACACCAAACATGTGTCACAGCGCGAAAAGAAATCAGCAGAAGAATACATTGTGTGAGAAAAAAAGTGTTTAGGTTTATAACCTGAGTATGGCTTGCAGCCCTGTGTCTCAGCCCGGGGCAGCACATTACAGTCGTAGTGTGTTGACCGTGGTAACTTTACCCCGCTTGTCTTTACCACGGCTGGCGGTGCATCCCCAGAATGCTTGCGGTTTTTGAAGCGATTATGCGCTATGCTGGCACAGCATGATGGCAAGCCCTACGGCGAGGTTATGGCCTATGTCAGATGCCGTCTGTCGTTTGCACTCCTCCGAGCTGCAGTTATGTGCATCAGAGGGGCTCGCTCTGCATACCATCGACCGGTAAATGCATTGCGCCCACTAGCCATGGCTGAGGGACGGATGTAACAGTGGTGTGTATAACCTCGCTAATGGCAGTGTCCTCAATGCTAATGGACGCGTCATGTTTTTGTTTATAATTTAAGGTGCAATTTAGCGCTGATGTGGGTATTTCTTTGCTTTTCTTCATTTGGTCCTTTAAAATGAAGCGGCTTTTTATTTCCTTTTTCTTCTTTTGCACCGAGATATTATTTCTTGCTGTTTTTTTACCGGATGTGTCACGACTTTGAATTGAATTGAATTTTCCTGAATTGATTTGATTTTTAGCGTTATGAGCGGCTTTATTGACATTGCTCTTCAGATTGGATTTTTTATTTTTTATTGGACCATGACATAATCAATAATAATCATGATTTAGTACTAATACAGAATACTAGTCGTAGTGTGTTTGCTGCATACTCACAACGGGCTGGCGTGTGCTCAGCGCATATAAACTCACTGCGGGCTGGCGACCAGCCCGGCCTTGCACATGTAAACACCCTTGGCGGGCTGGCCCGCTCGCTCCAGCCCGGGCTGGAGTTGCACATATAAAAGGCCCTTAAGACTGCCATATCAGTATGTGAACAGGAATGTGGAGAGAAAGGTCGCCTGGGTTTGCGTTTGTGGGCAAGTGGGTGCTCCCTGACCCGTCTGGAAAAAAACAGACGATGGACTTACCGCAATCTTCATCCTCAAGTCCGGCTTGTATTGCAGCAGAATCTTGACGGTACGGATGTGACCTTGGTGAACTGCTAGGAGAATTGGCGTGTACCCTTCCTGAAGAATCCAATTGCCACGGGAGCACAGAAAGCACAGCATAGAACACAGAGAGAAAAGATGACGACTGCAAAGGCAGTACACACGTTCATTGTGCTTGCCCGCATCAGTTCCTTCAATCCAAGTTGTTTCGGGTGTTGTGTACAAGAACACAGAATCATTGGGGAGAAAAGCCTTGTGACGTTGTGTGATAGGCTAAGCCTCGGGAAACTATTCACTAAAAATGTCATGGTTCGCCGAGTTTTCCGCATGCGTAGGAATGCCACCACGGCCTATGGATCAAGGCGCAGATGCAGCTCCTGAGTAGATCAGACTCACCAGAAAGTGGTCAAAGACCGAAAATCCCATTCGCTGCATCCATGCTTCCCTCGTGTCAGGCAACGCGTTCCCAATAAACTGTGGGTCGCCGCACGGCTAGAAAAGTCCTTCTGCTTCCAAGCAGGACTTGAACCTGGTACCCTCTGTTTCTCAATCATGGTCTTAGACCATCCCACTATGCGGGCCCGAAAACTCATCAAGTACAGAATTGCAAGTTCAGATTCTGTACTGAAAATGCGGTGCAGACATCTCAGCAGTCCATGGCAGTCTAGAAGAACGCAAAGAAAATGTCTGAACCAAACGCTCTCGCTGCCTTCACACCATGGGTTCTGTATACCCGCAATGTTGTTGTCGGCGTTACACAACCAAACTTTTTCCTTCCTTCTTCTCATTACAGGCTCTCTAGTCTCTACACTCACGATTCTCCATTGCTAATATTCTTGTTGTCATCATTCTCGTCGTTCCTTGTCGTCGTCATTAGCATGGTGTTGCTGCCATTGTCATCGTCGTCGTCGTCGTCGTCGTCATCATGGAACAGCAAGCAGTGTTCATTGTCAAGCATGTCTTCATCCACTACTTGACGGTGTGGAACTTTACGCAAGCCACTTCAGGTAGTGAGGGGCTGAGCAAGCGTTGCTTGCTAGCCCCGAGGCCAACGGCGGACTTACCTGGTCGAGTGCGTTGACCTCAGCACCACTCTGCAACAGTACGTCGGCGGCCTCAGCGTGATCACCATCACAAGCATAATGAAGGGGCGTGTACAGATCCTAACCAGAGAACCACAGGTACCACACAGTCAGGCACAAGAGAATGAGTACAACAGAGCCTGCTGTTAGCACCTATCAATGCCTGTCAGTTGATCTACGAACACTCGGGGGGGGGGGGGGGGGGGGGGGTCTCGCTCATTTCACCTACAGTACACTGTGCACAGCCCATTCATAAAGAGATCATGTGGACTTCTAGCTTTTGACCATTATTAAGGGGTCAATTTTTGAGTTTTTAAAGAATTTTCCAATCTTCTATGGAATTTAAAAGCTTGGTACAAGCTTCACCAACTTGTTGCCCCTCCCCCCAAAAAAGCCGCGTGCCAAGGGCATGGGAGTGCAAAATTGCCACTATCCAGGAGAAGCGAGTATCAGGGCTAGAAATAGGAGACTCCCTCGATTTAGGCTAAGGCCTGTGGAGAATCCATAAATACAAATACAAATATGTACAAGACATTACTTTACAGGAGTAGGAACCGGAGGTTCTTCCTCTGGTGAGAAGGCAGAATAGACTGTGCTCTAAACGAATTCAAAATAAAAGAGACAAAGAAATTGACATGAATTTCTGGGTTTTCATGAAGATGCCTACCCGGTATGAACTTACATTGCCCTGCAGATCCAGAGCAGCGCCGTGTTCTACCAGTACCCTCACTGTGTCCCTGTGGCCATTCTCACATGCCACATGAAGTGGCGTGTCTTGAAACTGTGACAGAACAGTGAAGCAGATCAAGTCACTGGCAAAGGTCCAATGCTCAGGCCCGGTTGAAACACTGCCTCTGCTATAACGGCCAGTGAGTGAGCGAGTGAGTGAATGAGTGAATGAGTGGAAAAATGAGTGAATGAGTGGAAATATGAGTGAATGAGTGGAACTGTGAGTGACTACTGAGTGATGAGCAACACCCGGGCAAGTATAGAAATGATGAGAGCCACACAACAACTGCCGTACACGGTTTCACTGCACTCAGGCACCAGCAGTACAGTATAGCCCTGCAGTTAGCGAAACAGACATTAAAAGTTTAACAATTTACCTAGGCTAGAGTCAGGAAACTTCCAAAACGCCAAGTATTTCCAATAGGAGCAGTATATTCAGGACTATCAATGCTTGCAGCAAATTTCCAAGAACCATAAACCAACCGACTTCATAGCATTCATCTCATCACCCAAAGAAGAACAAGACTATCAATGCTTGCAGCAAATTTCCAAGAACCATACACCCACCGACTTCATAGCATTCATCTCATCACCCAAAGAAGAACAAGACTATCAATGCTTGCAGCAAATTTCCAAGAACCATAAACCAACCGACTTCATAGCATTCATCTCATCACCCAAAGAAGAACAAGTTGCCCGTGCAATGTGTAGTTCATTGACGAGAGTACCCATTTCCTCAAAGGGCAAGTCGAATCTTTCGGCCTGTTTTACCAATGAAGCAATTCCATCTCCACCCCATGCACTCTCTGGCCGACGTCACGAGCCTGCAACACTGGCGACTCCAAGTTGTAGATGCTGACAAATAATTTTTTTCCCTCCATACAGTGCAAACAGTAGCCATTTACCAAGCTCTTACCCGGTTTGCTTGATCAACAGAAGCACCCTTCTCCAGCAGCAGCACTGCCATATTCGTGTGACCTTTCCTACATGCCTCTCCAAGTGCTGTGTGCCCGTCCTGGTGCCAGTGTTGGAGTCGTACATTCACGTGCAGGAGGAAACACATGCACAACAAGATACATGTACACGTGAACAGTTTCTGTGGAGACAAGAATGCGATAATGCTCAATTCATCTACTCAGTAGTTCGGGGAATGGAGAAGGGAAAAGTCTGAAGAAGAAATTGACTGCCGCCACCAGGACTCGAACCCAAGGGGACCTTCGCTTTAGGCCAGCCGTGCTCTAACTACTAAGCTATGGTGCAGCTGTTATCCCAGCAGAGACCGTTCAACATCTTCTTCAGACTTCGAAACTCACACTTCCTGTGAGACTACACAGGCTAAATTCATTGCTGTTGTTGTTGTTGTTGTTGTTGTTGTTGTTGTTGTTGTTGTTGTTGTTGTTGTTGTTGTTGTTGTTGTTGTTGTTGTTGTTGCTGTTGCTGTTGCAGTTGTTGTTGTTGTTGTTGTTGTTGTTGTTGTTGTTGTTGTTGTTGTTGTTGTTGTTGTTGTTGTTGTTGTTGTTGTTGTTGTTGTTGTTGTTGTTGTTGTTGTTGTTGTTGTTGTTTTGGCTCTTCTTCCTTGCAATCACTTGTTGATAGGGATTGAGAGTATACTAGTGAAGTCAAACCTGAAAATGGGGATGCGACTTATAATCGAGTGCGACTTATAATCGGGGAAATACGGTAGTCAAGTCCGGACACTAGTAGTAGATACTATTCATTATAAGACTAAGATGAAACTCCCGGGATTGCCTACTACCGAGGGCGGATCTGTAGTCACTTAACACGTCGTTACCTGGCCAGTCAGTGTCAGCACTGCACCACTGTCAATGAGCAGTTTAGCCACTGCTGTGTGGCCCCTGCTGGCTGCCACACAGAGGAGACTCGTATCACGGGGGACTCCCTATGTGGAGGACACACATTGAAAAGAATGCAGGTAACCAGAGTCTGGGATCAGCAGGGATTCCCTATGCGGAGGAAAAGCGTCGAAAAGAACACAGGTAGCCAGAGTCTGGAGTTAGCGGGCCGCATGGCCTTTATTGTAGAAATTGTCTGTGGGAAGAAAGGGCAGCGAGCATGGAAGCTTTCCCACGCCAATGATCAAACAATGCTAAGAAAATCCTGAACCTGATTGTGCCGCGGAAGACCAGGCATATTGGCCTTAGTTCACGAATTCTGGTTCCTTTACGCTGACAGTCCAGATTTTAAAAAGAGAACAAAATTCACGGTTTGCTTGGGACTCATTTAGACTGAGTTTTCAACATCAGTAGGTACGCCACCATCCTCCAAAGATCTAAAGCGCAGATGCAGCTCCTACAGCGGTGGGAGGTGGTCAGCCCAGAATAGGCCTAGATGAGCTCAAAGCTTGGGGATCGAGATGAAAGGTCTAGTTTGAGCCGACAAAGTGCCAGGGAATGTCGATGAGCAGACGATCAACACCCTTTCCACCCTCTTCTCTCAGCTTCGATGGTACCGAGATCAGAGAGGACACCGATGTTAATTAAGCTTCTCGGTGTGACATTCGACCGCAAACTGCTGTTCCGCAACCATCTCCACGCGGTTGCAGTCAGAGCCAGCCAGCGCATTGGCTTCTTCTGGAAGGTGTGCCCAGTACTCGACTGCAACGGCCGCCTCAGCGTATACAAAGGCTTCATCCGCCCAACCATGGGATATGCTCCCCTAGTTTGGCAAGACGCAGCCCGGTCCAACCTCCTGAAGCTTGATCACATCCAGCAACGGTGTATGCGCAGCATTGGCGCTGGGACCATGCTCCCAAGCTTATCAGTGCCTCAGCAAGTCTCAGGACTGTGCTACCTGTTCAAGCTGCACTAAATTTCCGGTCCGGCCCAGCTGACAGACATGCTGCCACCTGCTGCCCCTGAGCCCGCCCACCCCAGAACCCGCCACCAACATCAAGTGAAACACTCCCATGCCTTCCAGTTGTCAAACCTCCTCCCCGCAACAAGTCCTGACATCCTACACCTATCCTTCCCGTTCGGCCTACTAACAACATTGAATGCTCTACCCTCTGCCATACTGAACGCTCCCCCATCCAATGCAGCGCTGCAATGCTTCAAAGTAGCAGCGCAAAAGTACCTCCTCGAGCACACTTGTGGGACTGCTGTCGACGTGCACACCACAGACTAGCATACTACCTGATGGCCTAGCTCATTCTTCTTTCTTTCTTTTTTACCCCCCCCCCCCCCCCCTGGTGCGTGTTTTGTGCAAGGATACCGAGACCTTTGGTCGGAGGAGTCAAAAACGCCCCACCTATACACCTACACACCTACACACCTATACACCTACACACCTACACACCTACACACCTACACACCTACACACCTACACACCTACACACCTACACACCTATACAGCTGCGCTAGTGGATACTAGTAGTCTCTGCATGCAACTTTGTTATCTTCCTTGTTATTATTTTTTGTCTCGAGCCGGGTTTGTGTTCTTTGTAAAAAAAGAAGAAGAAAAAGAAAGGCGGTTGCCAAATCTTTTTCATCGCTATCTTACCACCACTCTCGGCTTGGGCACGGGAGTTTTGTCAAAGTCGGGGTACATCACTTCACAGTTGACCTCTTCACCTGGGTTCTCAGCTTGAGAAAGGATGACGTCCGCACACTGAACGCTCCCATAGAAACAAGACGCCAGGAGCATTACACCCTGTACACGGCAGAGGAGAAATGGGCACAGTAAAACCTGCCAATGTGGACACTCTTTCTAAGGCGACCACCTGTCCAACAGAACCACTGCAACCCAGGGGATGTAATTTCCAGCCCAAGTAATGACCCTGGATCAGGAGTCTACCTGCACACAGGGACTCCGCCACATTGTGATGGTCCCTTGAGAAGTCGGCTTAGACAGGTTCCACTGCAGTGAATGTTCAGTGATCACCCCATGGGTCAAAGAAGGTTAGTCCAACAGCTAACTGTTTCTTTCAAAGAGATTATAGTCTGTTTGTTCGTTTTTTTGTTTGTATACTTTAATTGAATTCGCCAATCCAAACGAGCACAAATGCTCAGTGACAAGGCAGCGGATTATAGTCTCACATGACAGCGGTGGCAACAATGGCAGTTCTTCTTATCCATATTTTGTATCCAGTGCAAGCATAATGATTCATCAAATGTGCTGACGTGGTACAACCTACAATACCATAAGTCAACAAATATTCGGCGCATACATGTATTTTTGGCAATTTTCGGCCTGGTCATGTTTGGCCGAAATTTTGTTTTCATGTTCAGTGTGACAGCGTGTACAGGCGGCAGCAGTACAGGACAAAGATTTGATGCGGCCAAAATGGGTTTTAGCCCTGGGAGGCCAAAATGGGTTTTAGCCCTGGGAGCCTCGCCAAAATGGGTTTTAACCCTGGGAGGCCAAAATGGGTTTAGCCCTGGGAGGCCAAAATGGGTTGTAGCCCTGGGAGGCCGAAATGTGTTTTTAGCCTGGGAGACCGAAATGTGTTTTAGCCCTGGGAGACCGGTAATATGTTGACTTACAGTAGGTGACCGGCATAATCACTACAGAAGTGGTGTAAAATACCTTACATGTATATACATCACATTATTACTCTCGTGAGTCCCCGATATATGTCTTAACCAGAGGGCAGTAAAATATTGGTACATGTGTTTACTACTCCATTCACTGGTGTGAGGCAAAGACACAAACTACTTCCTGGTTATATCCCCCCCCCCCTAGTTATTGGCATGTGAGAGATAGTCATGGAACCACTACTAGCGCTGAACCGTATTCTCCCGCGCAAAGGTTTTATGACAAATTCCAGGTCATCGTCTGATCACAAGTCAACGTACTTGAAGTAATATTATCTGATCGGTTGTACCTACCGGTACTCTACCTGTAAAATCCTATGCCGTAATTCTCAGATTCTACTTTAAAGTGAGATGCACAACAACTAGTAACTCACGATTTCATATTGTAAAAAAGAGAAGAAAACACGTGAGAACGAGTTACGCAGCAACTATCCACGACTGTAACAAGATTATAAAGAGTCAGAACGTGCGATAATAGGGCACAAAACTGACAGGCTACTGAGCCTGTGATCCGAGTTAAAATTTCTTATTGTAATTTGATCATTTTCTACGTACCACTATGCTCTCTTCCTGCTCCCAGAGTGGACCCAGAAATACTGGGTAACAGCTGACCAGCCAGGACGAATTTATCTGGCCAAGCCTTGCTCAACCGATCCTTCTTCTGTTGGTTCACTTGCTGCCATCCCCCGTACCGCTGTATATCCCACTGGATCATGTGCTAGCAGTTGATAAACTGCTGAAGAGCAAATTTAAATGTCTGCCCCCCCCCCCCCCCCCTGATACAATAATAATGATAATAGTTACCGTTTGCATGTCGCTCATGGAAGAATCCATGGGCTTAACGCATCTGTCAATGAAATCCAGGCAAAAGAGCCAACAAAAGGCATCCCAATAATTGTTATGGTGTATTGTACACTGTCTAAATCACACGTACAGATACTTTCATTTGAGTGGACAAGAAGTGTGACGGGAGCATCCAGTAGTCGGAGCGAACGAGTTGAGAAAGTGCGGCATGGTCAGTGACTTTCAGTCGCTCCTGCAGGCCTGTGTGGTCATTGATCTCGCACATACGAATGAGATCGGCACACGGCGCATCTCCACTAGAGTAGTAATGAGCAGCATCCACCGCAGCTTCTGTTTCGTCAGGTGATGACATTTCCTGAAGAAGAAGAAGAATAAGAAACAAGAACCAATGAACACAAGCACTGAGAGCGTGAGAAACACTCAAAAGAATATTAAGCAATCACCGTTTTCAACTCCGCCAACCGTGATTATGAAAACAGTTAAAACCTAGAAAATGGACACAGTTCAGGCTCCACATTTCGAACCTGAAGCTTGAAAGTATACTTTTTAAGCCTACTACTCAGGTGAAATGCTGGCAAATGCAAAGGAGAAAGGACAATGGATAAGGAAGTAGAGTAGAGTCTGAGAGGCGATGAAACAGCGCAAAGAAGAAAACCAGTACTGTTAGTCTACTAATTTTCGGCCCATTCAAAATTCGGCCTCCCAGGACTAAAACCAATTTCGGCCTCCCAGGGCTAAAACCCATTTCGGCCTCCCAGGACTAAAACCAATTTCGGCCGCATCAAATTTTCGGCCTGCACTGCTGTCGCCTGTATACTACTGTCACACTGAACCTCGCAAAACAAAATTTCGGCCGCAACAAATTTTCGGCCAAATATGACCAGGCCGAAAATGGCCGAAAATAAATATGCACCGAATATTTGTTGGCTTAGACTTTACAGTAGATAAAAACAACAAAGGAAAAATGTGTGACCCGTACACATAGACAGAATGGCATAAAAAGGTTACAGTGTGAGAACACCTAACAAGGGTGAAATGTAGTTCGACACCATAATGGACATAACAAACGAGTTGTTGACGATCAACCTAACAGCCTAAGTGTGACTATATGCAAAGTACTGAAATTTACTATGGCCATCACCTACTACCAGTGCATTGTAAATCCACGCCATTCACAAAGTACCATCATTTCGCCCAGCCTGTAGCCATTACATGTATCTGGTAACTGAAACATTGACAGTGTGACACTTACGGACCGGTTACAACAGGGCAGCTTACTGACAGTTGTAAATGTTTTGTACATGTATTGCCATCCTGCTCCCCTTTATGGGGGGGGGGGGGGGGGGGGGGTGAGGAGAACCAGGTAAGAAGTCTTGAGCATACCTGCCAAGTATCCTAAGTTTTCGGGATTATCCTGGATTTTCGGATGTACTCCCGACATCCCGAAATTCTGGTCGATTATCCCAACACGTCACTGTACAAGAAACACATCTTGCTGTTGTTCCTGGAGCACTTCCCTAGTTGTCTTTGTTTATTCTCTGTACCGCCATAGCTGTAGTACAGGAAGGGTTACTGGTACCTTTTCCACGAACGGTCCCTGAAAGAATTCGCTTTTGACTCTTTCGATGGTATACCATGCGTGAAATCATAACGGAAATGCAACGTAAATTAACATCTAATCAAGTCATGTCACAAAATACCGGTATTACAGGTATTACAGGTATCATTATTAAAAAAATTGAAAAAAAGAATTATGGGGGGAAAGGATGACATCCTGAAAAGTCCGAAAACCGAGGCAAATCCAGGGATTTTGCCCTGACGATCCAGAAAAAGCACACTCAGTACTTGGCAGGTATGCTTGGGGTTTCTGTTTCCAAGATGTGAAAGAAACTGCAAGAACTGTTTCCATTCGGAAATTGAGCTGGTTTTGGTTTGTACTTTGTAATGGATTTTGCCAGTCAAATCTCTTCCCACCGAATCAGTCAAACTACCCTGATCAGCCTGTGGACTTCTGACTTGGTTCGCCTCTTCCCGGAAGCGAGCAACATGGGGATTTGTGCAGCTGTCTGTAGATGTGCATGCTGCAAAGGAGCGTCTGCCAGCTGCAGGGTCAGTGGCGTGAATCCCTGCGCCTAAACTTTACTACTGAGCTAAACTGCTCAGGTGTGTAGCAGGCACACTATCAGTGTTTCAGTTACCTGATCATGGCTGGAAACTAGTGTGGCCAAGCCATTATGCTTCATGTCATCATGTATTGTACATTTACTTGTAAACGACAGTGGTTTGGACTTGCTAGGTACTTTGCAATGGGTGTTCCAGCCCTACAGTAGTGCAGATTCCTAAAGGGTTTCTAACATACACGTATGCAAAGGAAAGGGGAATTTGAAAATGCACGCTGTCGGTATCACAGCACGTCTAGACGACTATAATACGCTGAGGCAGACATCAAGTGTCATACATGTGTAATGTCCTTTTCGTATCTCAGTACTGGGGCCTCCGAGAGTCACACATGCCGATATGTAGGCAGACTGCTAGTAATCTATAATTGAATTATACGGCTCTCACCAGGGCTGGCTACCAGCCTTAGGGGTACACCAAGGCAGAACCGTCTTTGAAAGCGGTGATGACGGACCGTAGGCGGCACATCAAGCAAGGCACGCTCGTCACGGATCTGTAGAAGGCAAAAGACCAGCATAATGTCTATCTATCTGACTTCCATTGCTCCTTAGCACCTCGACTCAAGCGCGACTTTGGACGCACAAACACATCGCTTTTTTCTGGCACGATAACGACTTACGTCTTCTTTGTAAAAAATAACCGTAAGTTGAAACTCCGCTAATTATCCGGCGGCCTTCAACACCTCCACGAACACATTGTCACTGTAAAAGTGGTGGAAAGTACAATACGTACCTACATCTACATCTACATCTAGATTTTACTACTCTAGCTATTACCAGTAGGTCTACCGAGAGCCGAGATAGGCTGCCGAAAACTGGATCCTCCGGGACTGGACGGGAAAAGCGATCCCCTAGACCATGTAGACCCCCAGGCCCCAGTTCGCGCTGATCGGTGTGGATGAAAAACACATAGCCAGACGAGCTAAGCCGCGAGGTCGCAAGCATGCTACTACATGTAGTAGTTCTACTAGCACATGACCGGAATAAGACTTGAGAGTTTGCAGATCAGACCACATGCACGATAATAATAATTATTGTGATAATCAAGAGTCAATCGACCAAATCTCAAAATCGAAAGTGGTGATGCACTGACTGAGCTTCCAAGTAAACGGGTCTATGCCCAGCACGTAGAGAATATAATTATCAGAGAACACTACTCCGTTTGTTGGACAGTCCAGGGCGGCGATACGAAGCTTTCTTCGTCGCCGAGTTTTTTTACCGTGCGCTCCATTTGAGAGTGCGCAGAGTTCTGATGGAGAGCTTTTTTAGCAGATTTTCAAATATTTGAAGCTGTCGGCTGCCAGCTGTCAATAGCACTTAGTATGTGACAGGCAATAGGTTTTGGTGCCTCCGTATGCCTTCTCTCTTCCTTCGTTTCACTTCGCTGCTTGGCCCACCACCTCGGGAGATGACGGCGTACCTGCACTAGTCTCTCTCGCTAACCCTGTCTCTCTTTGTCCGTATTAGCGCTCGTCATTCGTGTCCTTCTGCTGGGGCGAGCTTTATACTGTTGTGTCGTAGTGTTTAGGCAATACTCAATAGTGGCTGTTGTTGGCGTGACTATCAGTGAACCCACGAGTGGTTCGAAGCTTTACTAATACATATTTTAAAAACAGCCTCATGGAAACAGCAACGGAAAAACACAATTGATAAAAATGGAGAACACGAACTCAACAAGTCAACTCTTGAGACGTTCTCTAACTAACTCAATAACCACTCTAACCAAGGAAAATCAAACTCCGGGGCTATAATGAGGAGAAAAGGCGAAAAGGCGGGTAAGATGAGCGGGAATGCGGGTGACAAAGCCGGTAAATGGAGGAAAAGGCGCTAGCGACTTGGCGCAAAAATTAGTGCATGGCTCTACACGCATGCTCCTTGTCATCGCAAGAACCTCTCACCCTCATGAACACACCTCTGCTGCACAATCAGGATTTACAAATGAGAGTCCTCCGGCTCGGTAGAGTGCTCAATATTCGTTCCGAACGGTTCGAATAGAGCTATCTTACACACGACACAGAGCACCAAGCATCGTTCGTTGCTGCAATCAGGATTTATGGAGAAAGATGACGACTCACCAAGTGTGAATCCCCTAGGACAGACTGGCGAAGTAAGTACATGTATTAGTTAGTTCGCACGTCCGAGTACAACCGTTGAGAGGCACAACCAGTAAGGCCGCGGTCACACCGAAGTTTTGCTCGTGTCAGGCCACTGCAATGTCCGTGCCGCTGCCTAGGCTATGTGTCATGATTATGTACATGACACACTCACACACACACACACACACACACACACACACACACACACACACACACACACACACACACACACACACACACACACACACACACACACACACACACACACACACACACACACACACACACACACACACACACACACACACACACACACACACACACACACACACACACACACACACACACACACACACACACACACACACACACACACACACACACACACACACACACACACACACACACACACACACACACACACACACACACACACACACACACACACACACACACACACACACACACACACACACACACACACACACACACACACACACACACACACACACACACACACACACACACACACACACACACACACACACACACACACACACACACACACACACACACACACACACACACACACACACACACACACACACACACACACACACACACACACACACACACACACACACACACACACACACACACACACACACACACACACACACACACACACACACACACACACACACACACACACACACACACACACACACACACACACACACACACACACACACACACACACACACACACACACACACACACACACACACACACACACACACACACACACACACACACACACACACACACACACACACACACACACACACACACACACACACACACACACACACACACACACACACACACACACACACACACACACACACACACACACACACACACACACACACACACACACACACACACACACACACACACACACACACACACACACACACACACACACACACACACACACACACACACACACACACACACACACACACACACACACACACACACACACACACACACACACACACACACACACACACACACACACACACACACACACACACACACACACACACACACACACACACACACACACACACACACACACACATAATTATAGTGCGGGGTCCCATTTCGAAAAATAGTCGTATTATTTTTTAGAAGTTTCGTGGCAAGTAGGAGCTCACAAAATGTTTTAGAGCTGTTTCTGACTAAATTGTGGCTGCTGAAGACGATAAAAGTATCGGCAAGTCTGTACAGTTGTCCGTTTGTTAGATATGGCGATCTTCCGCTGCATACGGAAATTGTACATGTACTCGAACCCAGTCATTCTTGGTATAGTGGGTTTCTGCATACAGAGTCCGGCTCGGTAGGCCTCTACAGAGACGACGGGCTTGCCGTCCTCCGTAACGCCACTGGCCACAGTGCGGACAAAGTAAGGAAAGCTGTCATCGACACCTTCAAGACGCTGGGGCTAAAAATCACGATAGACGTCAACCTGAACGCTGTTAACTACCTGGACATCACAATGAGTCTCTCCACAGGAACCTACCAACCGTACCGAAAACCCAACGACACCCCACTGTATGTCAACGTCAACTCCAATCACCCACCGCAAGTCCTTAAGAACATCCCAGCTGGAATTAACAACCGACTGGCAAGCATCTCCTGCTCAGAGGCGGTGTTCCGTGATGCTATCCCCATCTACGCGGAGGCCCTCAACGCCAGCGGCCACCCTAGCACGCTAGAGTTCAAACAGAAAACAAGCAAAAAGAAGAAAAGGAAGAGAAAGGTGATTTGGTACAACCCGCCCTACAGCCGTAATGTGAAAACAAACATCGGTGGAAGATTCCTCGCGCTCATTAAGAAGCACTTCCCCCCGCAGTCGAAGCTCGGAAAAATATTCACAAAAAACACCATCAAGATAAGCTACAGTTGCATGCCGAATATGGCTGCACGCATCAAAAGCCACAACAAAGCGGTCCTCTGCCCGCAAACGAAAAAACCGGAAAAGCCCTGCAACTGCCGAGACAAGCCATCTTGTCCACTCAACGGTGAATGCCAAACGACGGAGCTGATATATGTGGCATCCATAACGTCAGGCCCCACCAAAAAGGAATACACCGGTATGTCGGCGCCACCATTCAAGTCACGCCATGCCAACCACATGACTACAACAAGATACGAGAAGTACTCCAGCTGCACCGAGTTCTCCAACTACATCTGGAAGCTGAAGAAATCCAACGCCCAATACGAAGTCGAATGGAGGATAAAAGATCGCGCCCGGGCATACTCCAACATCACGAAGCGGTGTTCCCTCTGTACCAGAGAAAAGTATCACATCCTGAACACGCTAGGGTCACCGTCCAGCCTCAACAAGCGCTCCGAAATGGTGTCCAAGTGCCGACACGAGAACAAGTATCTCCTAAAAAACCACGGTGTCACCTAAACATGTCTCCACAGCCTCCTGCCCACACCATTCACGTTCACACACCTTGCTCATAACACCCTGCCCACACCAGACATATCCATTTACATTGCGCTATTATCACACTGCTAGCTCTACAGCCTCCTGCCTACAACATCCACACGCATTGTTCACCACCTCCTGCCCACACCAGCCACACACTTCGCGCTCACACTGCACTGCTAGCCCCTGCCTTCAACAACCACACACTCTGCACACAGCCCTTTGCCTAAAACATCACCGCTACTGCGCTAGCCCCCACAGTCTCACACAGCTTTTTATACCACCCTCTCCTGGCATATATACCGGCATGGTCGGCACCCGATCTTCATGTTGCCTGATGATTGCGTAAGCATGAAACTTAAAGTAGCAGCAAACAAGCCTTGATTGTCCTTGTTGTTCTGTAGTGTATTACGCTCTGCCTTTGTGGTGTTGAGCACTGTCAAGCACTCTGGGTACATCCTTCGGTATTATTATTATTAATCTGCGATTATTATTATTATTATTATTATGAAATGACCCAAAGGCAATGTGCCTATCGAGGGGTTCATTTGATTGAAAGAACAGTAGATGTAGATGTATGTACAAAGACAAGTAGGGATTGATGAGGAGAGAAATGGGGAAAATCAACTGCATATAGAGTAGGAATAGGAGTGGGGAAAGGTGGGAACCTTGAGGCACTCCGCAGTTGATGCTCCGCTTCTTCGATTTAGTGCTATGTACCTTCACTTCAATTTGTCGATCCCCTAAGAAGCTCTTCAGCCATTTTACTGACGAAGCTGTAGCAATCTTACCGAATTTCTTTAGGAGTATAGAGTGGTCGACCCGGTCGAATGCTTTCCTGAAATCTAGAGATATCAGGTCAAAATTAGTGCCATTATCAATATTTACAGCCATTGATTGGGTTAGCAAGATAAGTTGGTCCGTTGCAGACTTGTTGCGTACATATGCGAATTGACCTTTACAAATTACACCATGGGTCATCAAGTATCGAAGTAGACGTTCCGAGAGAATCTTTTCCATTAGTTTCGCTATGCATGGGAGAAGGGATATAGGTCTGTAATTGGTAGGCTCTTTGGCGCAACCTCTATTCTTGTACACCGGTATTACAGTGGATGATTTCCAGGAGGACGGGAACACACCATCATCAAGGCTGTAGTTGAACAATACTGATAGTGATTGGGAAAGGATATATTTTCCTTTTTTTTCAATTCAGCTGAATGATG